TGCGGTCAAGTGGAAGGAGCTGGCACTGGGGAGCCCCTGCCCAGAGATAGGAACGGTATTCCATGTGAGGCCGAAACTGCGCCTTGTAAAGTTGCAGGCGGTGTGCCGGCATGAAATACTGTCCCGCTCTGCTGAGCACGCCAAGCTTTTTAGAGGCCGATTTGGCCTTCTCTTCCAAGTGACCACGAAACTGCACGTCACTCGATATGTCGACTCCGAGGATACCGATACTGGCTGAGGCAAGAAGGGGAGTGCCTTGAAACTGAGGAGATACGACAAAGGGGTTCTTTTTAGCGGTAAACGCGCAAACTTGTGTCTTCTGAGGATTAAACGACTAGATTTAGTCACCCCCAATCCGAGACTTTGTTCAGCAAAGAACCACTTCAGACAAAAGTTTGTTCCGGTACTTGGCGACGTTTTCCCGAGAAATATTGGCACGGCCGGTGTATAGAGCATCACCAGTGCTGTCATCCGCATAGCAATGAATGTTACCAGTTAGCAACATATCATTGATATGCAGAAGAAACAGCGTTGGTGATAGCACACAGCCTTGTGGAACACCAGCGTTAATAGGCTTGTAGTCAGAACATGCACCGTCTAAAACGACCTTGATGCTCCGATCTGCAAGGAAGCTGGTGATGCAATCGCAATATTTCTCGGGAAGCCCATAGGAAGGGAGCTTTGAAAGAAGCGCTTTGTGCCAAACCCGATCGAAGGCCTTCGCAATGTCCAGACTAACGGCCAACGCCTCCCCCTTGGACTCTACTGCCTCCGCCCATCTATGGGTCAGGTAGACCAGAAGATCACCAGCTGATCGACCCCGACGAAAAACGTATTGGCGGTCACTAATCAGCTGGTGATCCTCAAGGTACCGGATGAGCCGGCAGTTAATAATGGATTCCATTATTTTGGAGAACAAGGAGGTGATCGCGATAGGCCTATAGTTGGACGGGTCTTAGCAGTTGCCTTTTTTAGGGATCGGGTGGACAAAAGCTGTCTTCCATGAATTCGGGACTACGCCTTGGGAGTAGGAGTACCGGAAAAGACGCGTTAGGACCGGTGCCAACTCCGGAGCACACGTCTTCTGCACAATTGGGGGGATTCCGTCAGGCTCACTCGACTTCTGGATGTCCAGGGAGAGAAGTGCTTTGCAAACCGAGCGCTGTAAGAACAGCACATCCGGCATGGAGCACTCACACCGCGGGATGGTCGGCGGTGTTTTCCCCCCGTCATCAAGAGTCGAGTTGGACGCAAAAAGGGAGCCTAAAAGGTCAGCTTTGTCTTTTGCGTCTTGGGCCAATGAGTCGTCCTCCCTGTGCAGAGATGGTAGTGATGGCTTACAGAAATTCCCTTGGACAGCCTTGGCAAGAGACCAGAATGCACGGGTTCCCGAAGGAAGGCGAACTAGTTTCTCGCCAATTCTGCCTATGTGCTCTGACTTTGCCTTGGCAATAACTCTTTTGAAGGACCTAGAGGCGAAGTTATACTTCTTTTTAAGTGTGCTGGTGTTTACATCCCGAGTCGCCGAAGTCGCAGCCCAGGCTTGATAACACTCCTGCTTACTGCGTAATGCAGTCTTACAGGAGCGACCATACCAAGGCTGAGTTCTGCCTCCGATGGGTACCACAGATGATGGAATAAATAGTTCCATTCCCTATAGCACCACATCAGTGACAGAGTCAGCGACAGCGCTGGGATCATCCGGCGAGAAGCAAACCCGCCCCCATGGGTAGGATGCAAAGAAAGACCGCATTCCGTCCCAATCCGCCGACCTGGCCAAACACGGCGGCAACCTGCAGAACGCAACCGCGAGGAGAGCGTGAGTGGCACTACACTCCGGATCAGACAATGGTCCGAAGGGCCGAGAGGGGCATCGATGGAAACCTGTTATCCGTCCGGATGAGAGGTCAGCAGAAGGTCCAACAGGGAAGGTGTATGATCCTCCATATCTGGAATCCGCGTAGGCGAAGCAACCAGTTGTGTCAGACCATATGCCAAGGCAAAGTCATAAACAGATCTCCCCGCATGATCGGTTAAACGTGAACCGAGCCATTCGGCATGGTGGGCGTTAAAATCGCCAAGGATCACGATCTCTGCGGATGTGACCTGTTGTAGCAAGGAATCTGTAGCCATTTGGACGTGATCGATGAGTCGGTCTGTTTCGGCATTACCGCTATGGGACCTATAGAGGCACCCGTAGACGCGCGGATGGTCGTCGCTGTTTACGCGTAGCCAAAGGATGGACAAGTCCGAACCTTCAAGACTGCCGAGGCGTCGAGAACAGATGTCCTCTCTGACATACACGCAAACTCCAGCCCGAGGCACAAAGGAGTGCTCCAATTTGTACCCCGGGTAGGAGAGATACGAAATATCAGCCGGAGAGGAAACCTGCGTCTCGGTCAGAAAGAGCAAGGCCTGCTTCGCCGTCTCGAGATGGTAGTGGACGGCGTTTAGGTTAGAGTGAAGTCCCCTGATGTTGCAGAAATTCACGGATAGCGTGGCAGGGGTCGCCTTGGTATTGTTGAGCGGAAGTTTGCCCCCCCCCCCCCAGAATACGCGGGGCAGCCTGAGCACCCACGCTCAGGAGTGGAATAGCGTGGTCGTGGATGCTCAGCGAGGAATTCTTCAGGGGTACTGGTACCCTCCTGGGGTAGTCTATCGTGTAATTCCGCTACCATGTTGATGGGGGGGAGGGGGGGGGGAATTGGGCCTCCGGCCACCTGCACTCACCAGACGAAACGCAGAAGCAGAGCCTCTACTCCACGCCGGTATTCTGTGAGGTCGTGGTACCAACCCGGCTCGAGCCGGCCCATACGTGCAACAGCAAAAACTGCTGCGTGGCTCTACCACCGTTAGAATGCTTTGACACAACATACCTACTCATAGCTATTTTTACGAGCTTGGGGTTCGAGACAATAAGAAACTGTCGATTGAATTACCAAAATTGACACAAATTGACTTTAATTACAGAACACAAATTACAACTTAAAACCACACTAATAACAAAACATAATTGTACTACTGATCACTTTAGTTCGCAGTTGTATCGCTTTGAAGTATTCGCTTGTATCGCCAATTCAATACTGCCCTGGTCGTGGTCTATACCGGCCTTATATAGGGCCTCAGGTAGTTTCCAGAACCTTCTACTATAGAAACTTCTAGAATGTTCGAGTACATATCGGTCCCGATTGACTAGGTGTCGATAGTTCTAGAAAGTTCTTCCATGGAAATTTTTAGTATGTTCTTGACTCTCCTCAGTGGTAACTAGTGTCGCCATATACCATGTATTAATCATGGCGCGCAACACCTTTAACTCCTGACAAGTCTCGTATTCCGTCAATGTAACGGTCGCAGTCTTTGAAGGTAGCTACAACGGCCTCGCAGTCGCACTTAATAGTGGCTTATTGCGAGGACCCAAAACCAAACACGCTTTTAAATTTGTGACGTTCTTTCTCGAGCGCAAACGTGATCAAATTAATAAGTCATCTGTGATTAAGTCTGGGGGTACCGCATTTTATGAGGCCTCGCGAGGCCCCATTTAAGTGCGAGGCTTTTTTTTATTTACATCAGACCCGAACACAGTGGTGCCAGCACTGCTAGTTAGAAGCAGAAATAGGTAAGAGGATGTTTGCTTTCAACTAAAGAGCAAAAAAGAACTCTAAGAAAAAATTAATACCATATTAAACCACCGAGAAATAATTGTTAGTAAAATGGCCCTACATTGAATATAAACAATATTGATTTATTTGTTTGTTTGTCTACTATGTATTCCCGTAATTCTATATCATTCATGAAACTTTGATGAGTTGTCTGCACCTGTAGTTTCAGTCTATAACATGTGTCAGTAGATGTGTGTGTTAGTCCACCGGATACACTCAGTCTCTCCGGCGGAACCGCCTCTCCTCTTTTATCCGGGCTTGGTACCGGCTGCACCAAAAAAGCACAGACAGAGTTTAAATGCGTCAGTATATTAACCGTACTGTAAATTTCATAGCACGTGAGCAACTGAGTTTGATCCCCGCTGGCCGCCAGATTGCCGATCGCAGCACCAGTCACGCTGCTGTCAGTCGCTGGACTCAGTATTTTACATCTGGCATTAACGAGATCAGATACAGCTGTCTATCGAAAGCCATAAGATTTTCCATAATCTTTACTATGTTTCCCTTCGCTGCAAAGCACCTGGCATATCCGCACTGAAATCTGCCTAAGAGAATAAAGTATCCTTTTTGCCTTTGAGTCAGCCTGTGTAGGTGCCATCCTCTTACCTATTTCTACCGTCAAGTAGAAGTCCGTGCACTGCAGGGTATAGAGGGCCAGTATAATAATCAGATGTATTCCAGCTTAGTCTTAAGAGGTGACAACACAACTCTGGTCTTCTCCGTTTGGTTTGGACCACGAACTTTAGTAGCCATTACCGCAGACCACGGAGATACATTCGCTACTGGCAGTTTGATACTTGAATCCTTATCAAACTGACAGTAGCTAATGTATCTTCGTATATAATACACAACAACCATAAAGTCTTTCAGTTACGACATTTGCAGTTACTCATAATTAAAATGTTCCTGCGAGTTCGATTGCATATATTATGTAGTAAAACAATATTGCAGCTTATAATCATGGTCATGTTACACGAATGGACTGGTTCGACCAAGGAAGGACCACGCTCACAATACCAGCGTAAAATAGCAGCTTAATGCTGCTATGTTTCATATTGTAAGTGTACAGAAACGATGGCGCTTTTCACTGGTAACGGGATATTCCATCTTACTTTTCAGGGGTGTCAACGCATGCTTGATTCTTAAAGAGAGAATAGATGTAGATGTCTGTGGACTATAACATCTACCTACCAAGTAGATGCTGTGGTCCATAAACCACAAGTATAAATAGCCAAGTAGACTGTGTGCTCGTTGGTCACCCTTATTCTATAAATTAAAAAAACCATGTGCCACATTTATAGTCTGATGATGTGTCACCAACACTACTACTTACTTCCACAGCATGGAACTGCTAAAGAAAACCGAAGATCCATATCTGAGGATTCAGGAACGTCGCATCCGCTGCCCAGAATGCTACAGATATACGGCGGAAAACGAGGAGAAGATGCAACGGCATATCAGAAAGGTGCACCGAGGGGAGAATCCATTCCAGTGCTCCATGTGTGACTACAGTACCTACAACAAGTCAATGTTCGAAGAACACGTCCGGATTCACCAAGGAATCAAGCCGTTCAAATGCTCCAAATGCCCATATAGAAGTGTCTCCAAGAAAAACACCAAGAAACATGAACTGATACATCGTTCGAACAACCCGCTGAAGTGTACGCATTGCGACTTCATCGCGCGTCACTCGCGTTCCTTCCTCTGTCATATAAAAAAGCACGCGATAGAAGAGAAGGTAGACGATAGTGAAGCCATGATTAAGTGCTTGAAGTGCAATCAGAGTTACAAGAGGTCCGCGTTCAAAGAACATCAGAAGGCGAGTGAAGACTGCAAACGATGTGGCTTCACGTCGTGTTCGAAAACCTTGCTGTCCAAGCATATGACGAAGATGCACGGGGTGGAGAAAAGGAAGAGGCTGCAAGAGGCCATTTTCACTTGCGCTATTTGCGAGTGGTCGTCGCGAAACAGACCGAGAATTCTACTTCACCTCATACACCATCCCGATCAATTTATCGATGAAAAAGTAATCGACGTAACCGTTTTAAAAAAACATGGTATTATAAAATGACTGTTGTCTTATTTATTATAATTACGTGAATAGGAACTTATTGGGTGAAATAAATTTTACGGATTTTGTCCAGTATCCACCCCCCACCACATTCTTCTGACCGAAATACGGTCGCGGCGGCCTGTTTCAACGGAGATTAGCCATCTGAGTAGGACAGTATTATAGTACCAGAGTGTGCGCAAGCACACGTGCACTCTCTATTCCCTCACTCTCGTAGTAAAATGGAATGGCATACCATTACATATACATATGGTAGCGCCATGCTGCAGCTATATTAGTAGTATAGTTGTAGCACGAATGGTTCGGCTCGACCGGGTTAGGACCAGGCTCTCACAGAATACCAGCGTAAAATAGCAGCATAACTCTGCTGTGTTTCGTATGGCGAGTGTCGAGAACCGGAGACCTGTTTTACTGGAAAAGAGGCATTCCATCTTAGTCCTCACGGGTGACAACGCATCTGCATTTTGATTCGCAAACGAGGATAGATTTAGATGTCTATGGGCCACAGCAACTACTTACCATCAGGTGGACTGTGTGCTCGTCTGTCACCCCATCCCATATTGCTACTGAGGATTCGAAATTGGGACATCATGATCTGCAATCACGTTTACGACACTAGCCCAACGAGCCAATCACTCCAACCTCCATTAATATAGATACTGCAACGCTCTTAAAAGGAGAACTCAAAATAACTTGAAACTATGCATGATAAAATCCGTAAAATATGTTTTTTTTTTGCAAGAGGCGATACATTCGTGGAGACTAGCATAGCCATATGGCGGTGGCCTCAGAATCGTGCCACCATTAATCTTCCTCTGGATATTGTAGAAACCGACTGAGGGAGATGCTAAAGAGAAGCTTTTGGAGAGATTGTCCATAGATTAGGGTAACCACCTCAATCCTACTTCAGACTGATCTGATGTGATGAGCTAAAGCTACAGCATCATATGTCCGAGTCCAACGTATCTGTTGGTGCGGTCTAACCCGTTTGCACGACGTGTCGCAAAGTACTCAGTTCTCCCGTTTAATAAGTTTTGGACAGTATATACTGTATATGAGCCTTACTCTTTTATCGTTCTATATTATTTATGATTTTGTCTATGATATGTAACTTAATTTATCAGTCGTTTTTGCTCTCTTTGAATATTAATGGCCGATAGAACTGTACTCAATTTTGTAAGTTGTGCTTTATTAAAAAAATATTGAAATAAATAAGTATTTCTCATTTATTTAAACTGATCACGTTGTGGCGGCGTATAAACCCACTACCTCATATCTTTACGTAGGTGTCGTAAGACGCGATAGAGGGAAACAAACTACTGGGCAGTAGCGTCTTCATATTACCTATTTGAAGATAAAACAAAAAAACCGTGGTTGCCACCCCGCGTGGCAACTATGACAAATATAGGAGATATTTGTTATAGTTATGAGGTCATATATAGCGTAAGTCTGTATTCAGTTGTTTACTTTTGATAGACCATAATTGATTATAAATTAATAATTTAAATATATACATTCCTATACAGGGTTATTTTTCAAAGACTAGCCATATTTAATAATTAAGTTCAAAATATATTTACTGATACAAAGTTTTTGCAGTTTTTAAAAATACGCGTAAAAAGGTTTCTACATATATTTCTAAATATCCGAAATTGAATGTGATTTACGGGCAACAACAGCGCGCGCTCGTGTGTGTACGAGTCAATGCACGGAGCTTTCGCCTACTACTTTCTTCCTTAATGACACGCTCAATACTATGATTCCAATTTTCCCTTCATACTTTAAACGTGCTTAGGTACGTCATAATAAATAATAAGTATTTTGACATTGAATAAAACTACTTTTTTACGTATTTTATCGCGTATAATTAAGTTATTTTATATTCCCGACGTTTCGGTTGCTTTTCAGCTACCATGGTCACGGGGGACTGAGGTGACTGACGTCCCGATGTCAGAGTTAACCCGGAGTACCTTCAGCTTTTTAATTATTAATTTTGGTCCGATCTACGCAGAATGAACTTACTGTGTCTTGAAGTCTTGCAGTGGTATGCTTGGGTTTAGTTTTAATTTTATGAATTATAGGATCCCAAGCAGGTGGTAGTACCCAGCCTCTCTCTCTATTGAAATTAGGATGTTTTTTAATTTCAATAGCCTTACGTATCATCCTTGGCAGGAATCGATGTTCTTTCGCGAGTATTTGTGGTTTATCAAATCTAATGTAATGGCGGGGGCCGTCTAGTATATGATCACAAACTGCAGACTTCCCGGAACGTTGGTGCTTCACGTCAGCTATGTGTTCTTTTACGCGGGTTTTTATTGATCGTTTTGTTTGCCCTATATATGAGAAACCACACTCACAATCAAGCTTGTACACTCCTGCATCTTGTAGAGGAATATTGCACTTGACGGATGGTAAGAACTGACTAATCTTCTTCGGCGGCTTGAAGAATGTTCTAATAGAAGCTCGCTTCAAGATGTAGCCAATCTTGTCTGTGACACCTCTGACATATGGTAGTACAGCAGACACACGCTCGACTGTAGCCGTCTTCACTCGGTCACTGAGACGTAGGCGCGGGACCCGAAGCTTGTTGTCGTTCAGAACCTGCTTGACGTGCTGAAGCTCGGCGACCTGGTGTTTGCTGTCACAGATCCCTCGTGCTCTCTGTAACAAAGATTTGCCCACGGTAGCTAACTGTCAAGGATGATGGTGGGATTCACCGTTTAAATATCGGTTTGTATGGGTCTTTTTTCTATACACAGTGTGACCTACGGTGTTATTAGGATTTCGAATGACTAACACATCTAGGGAGGCTAAAGAATTATTTGCCTCTAACTCCATAGTAAATTGAATTTTAGAGTTTATGGAATTAAGATGTTCTAAAAATGCAGTTACTTTGTCTGATGGTAAAATTGTGAAAGTATCGTCTACGTACCGCTTGTAGAAACTTGGAGTTACTGGTGCAGTAAGCAGGGCTTTCTCCTCAAAGTCCTCCATGAAAATATTGGCGACAATGGGAGATACCGGTGAGCCCATCGCAAGTCGCAACACCATCTACTTGCTTGTAAAACTCTTCCTTCGACAATAGATAGCCAGATGTAAGGCAATGTCTGAGTAATACTGCATATTCAGCTTTTAAAACCGGACTGGCCGGTTAATATATTATACTGGCCGGATAATAGGCAGTGCAAATAGTAAAAGCCCTTACAAAAACTTACTTCGCAAATATCCGCGTTATAAAATAAAATGATGTGGTCTTACCTAGTATGAAGAAGCACCTCCCGCCCTCCCTCAATTGCGTGCACTACACTATCCCCGTCACCACTAATCCCAGCACCGCTACTCCCAACACCACTACACTAGGCAAGACACACCACTGACGATAATACGACACGTGTTTCGCCTCTACACGAGGCATCCTCAGGTGATATAGACTCTACGGTGGCTAACCGCTAAGTGAGCGGCGAGCCAAAACAAGTGCCTTTTATACAAACCGATGATGCAACCGCTCTCTACCTAAGGAGCGAGCGACTGCGTCATGCGATAAAACATGCGACCAATCACCGCTGGACTTACGCAGCCGTTTGTAAAATTAAAAACAAACCGCCGCGCAACGCCCACCCTCCAACCACGCAACCAATCGCCGATCACCGTGAGGGTGACAAACGACCATATTGCGAGGCTCTCTATTATTAGAGAGCAGGCTTGAAGATATTTAAGAGAGGTGAGTTAGTAACATTTGTTTGTTCATTCAGCAATGCAATGGTATTATTATTACTTTTTAATATCTCTAACTGTTCCAGCACACACAGCCGCAGCCCTTTATTACACGTATGTAAGACTTTAAAGGAGTGGTCGTTGGCTAGGTTGTGTCCAGTGTCCAAAAGATGTTTGGCAAAATGGGATTTATCGGGATTGCAATTCCTGTACGCGGCTAAATGCTCTTTATAACGTGTCTCGAAATTGCGACCAGTCTGACGCACGTAAACGGCGTGGCAATCGTCACAAACAAGTTTGTAAACACCTGACTTTTGACGAATATCCAACTTAACTTTACTATTACAGATATTTCTAAGAGAATTGTTTGTTTTGAACGCCACATGAACGCCGTTTTGTCGAAGAGTATTAGCTACTTTTTCAGATATGGGGCCTAAGTAGGTCAAACTGCTCACATATCGATGAACACTTTGAGGTTGAACCGCGTACAGAGAGTTGCGAATAACATGCTTTTGTTTCTTTTTAATTATATTGTTAATGAGATTTTTTGAATAACCGTTAGAGACCGCTATTTGATAAATTATATTAAGTTCTTTTAAATAATTTTCTTTAATTAATGGGACAGTGAACAAACGGTTAATGTAACAATAAAAAGCGGCTACTTTATGTTGCCACGGATGACATGATGACGCGGGGATGACCGTGTCGGTGTGAGTTTGCTTTCGATAAATTTGGAAAACATGTGACGATTCTTTTCTTGTTATTGTTAAGTCGAGAAAATTAAGGGAACAATCTTGTTCCAATTCAAGTTTAAATTTAATTTTGTCATGGATTCTTTTTATTTTATTGAGGAAAACATCCAGTTGTCTCCTTGTGCCAGTCCAGCAAATAATTATGTCGTCTACATATCGATAGTAATATAAGATATTTTGATTGACAACTATATGTTGTTTTTCGAAATTATCCATGAAAATGTCCGCCATAAGGGAACTTAGAGGGGACCCCATAGCTAACCCTTTCTTTTTGTAGATAGAAACGGTTATTAAACCGGAAATAGTTTTGTTTCATACAGAGAGAGAGGTTAATTTAAGAAGATCATTTGTTTCCCCGGGATGTAGACGACGTTTTTCAAAGAGATCTGCGAGTATACGCAAACAGTCAGGGGATGGGACATTTGTGAAAAGACTATCAACGTCTAAAGATAACAATATGGATTTAGGAGGAATACGAATATCTTTAATTTTGGAAATGAGATCTAAGCCATTTTTTAGGCTGTAAGTGGGGTT